CTTTCCCTCTTTTTAACTCCCAAACTTACAATCCTTTCTCTTTACTGACTTGGCTTCTATTTGTGATGTTTGCAGAACTTGTCAGATATGTGGCAGCTAGAAGACAGATTGTCCTAGACAGTAGCCTCTTTCTCAAAAGGGATTTCCAGAAGCATACAGAAGTGTGAAAATGAGTTTTCTAGGAATCCTAACAAATGGCAGTATCAGGAATGGAATACTTTCTTGCCAATAGCTACAATGTTCTTCCCAAAATAACTTGGACGCATCTCCCATTTCTTGGAAGGGATCCTTCCTGACTTTTAAAAATATTTGCATATTTTTCTGAATGATATGCACCAGCTGTATCCTTAATTTCTTTTAATATGTTATATATCATATTTGGGCAGGGGGAAACCTCACTAAAAACTTAGAAAAATACCAATATACGAATCTACTTTTCTATTATAATTTCCAGAACAATAAGTACAAATAAGAAGAATATGTATGGGGTGAACATGGCAAACAAATGATAGCTATCAAGCCATATTCCAACTTCAGTTACACCCATATCAATTCAGAGTTACTCTGAACTGACTCCAGATTGCCATTGTTATTAACTAGAATCATATTTTTATTCTTTAAATCTATCCCCAGTTGCCTTCAAAACTGTTGCAATGTTCAGGGGGGTGGGTTTTGCAATAAATGTTAGGAAGCTGGATAACAACCCTGTGTCATGATTGTAGTATAGTAAGGCAAAGGCTAGCTAGTGGCTAGAATAAATGTGGAAAGAATTTGAAGTTGTCTGAAATCTATCCTGCTTATGCTTAAACAGTCTTTTCTATGTCTATTATAGGATATGCTCCTTAATTGATATTTTCATGAAGAGGGACCACATGAGAGATCTCAGAAGATACCTGGTACTCAAATATATCCAGTACTTAGTCTTGCCTTCTTCGAATACTCTCCTCACACTTCTGGGATTGTTGGGCAGCCTATATACAACACTCATCTTGAAGTCTCCAAATATTTCATACAAATGCACTGTTGTTTTTATTTCACATCTAGCAAAAGCAGACAGTCTTGTTTTTGTTAGCATGGTTTCCAAAAGGATCGTACAGACATTTGATGCTCAAATCCTACCTGCAACCTTTACAACAACCCTGTTGCAGAATTTCCTTACTGCAAACACACACATTAGTTACATGCTGCTAAGCTGCGTTGCCTGTGAGGCTCTTTTGATAACCCTGTTTCCAGCAGAATCTCGCCATATAAGAACGGTGAAGCATGCCAGACAGACATCTAATATAATATGGAGTTTAGTGATTGCAGAGTGCATCATATTTCAGATGGCAGGATTCCAAGAAGCTGACATTGCCTCTTTTGGCATCAACAGTCGATATATTTGGTTGTTCCATTTCTCTTACATGGCAGCATCTCTCCTCAGATCACTTACTTCCTTCATAGGGTTGTCTTTAAGGATCATCAATGTATACATTTACTACAAAATATTTTTTAATGCATCTAACACAGGGGACAGCAAAACTTGACCCACAGGCCATATCCGGCCCCCAAATGATTTTATCTAGCACATGAGCAGGTGTCATGGGTGGTGGCTCTGTCTCCAGCCTCTGCTGGTGCCACAGGGAACACTAAGAGGAAGCATCCCTGCCTGTCTGCCAAGCTCTATGTGGCAGGTTCTGGGCAAGCTGCGCTTGGGCCCAAGCACCCGCTTTAGACTGGTCTGGTGGTGCCATACCTGCCTGCAGCTCAGAGCTGGTGGGAGCTGCTCTGGGCACTAGGGCCATGTGGTGGGTACTCCATATCTGTGCCTGGAGGTGGTGAGCTTCCCTGGCCTCACCTTGCCCTGTGCACTGCAATCTGGCCAGGCCACTTGCTGCCTCCTGACTAGAGCCAGCAAGGCTCCTGTCCCATCTGCCCTAGTGAGCATCCTGGGCCTGGGGCTAGGGCTGGGGTTCCTCCTGGGGAAAGGGGGATCCCTGGGCTGCAGGTAGGCACAGGCTTCATGGCCTTTGTGGGGAGCTGGGGTAGGCTGGAGGGGGCTGCTGGGCTTCCTTGGGCTTTGTGGGGGCAAGTGTAGACAGGAAGGGGTGGGGGACAAGTGGGCTTGGGGTGCAGGTGGCTCTTACGGGGCATGTCAGGGTGCAGGCTGAGGCAGGAGCTCCCTTGTGATGGGTGGGGGGGAAGTGGCAGGGATCTGCTGGGGGTGGGGGTGTCCTCCCTTAGCCAAGTGTTTTGCTATCTGGTTTTGGTTCCCTTGTGAGAGAGACTTTATTTTCAACTGTTATGACATTGCCTCTATATACACTGCTCAAAAACCATAAATCAGGACAAAAATTATTTTTCGAAATAAAATTAAAATATTTTATAGTGGATGCTTGACTATAGATAACAAACAAGTCATATGCTAAATATTTGTTAAAATGATATCTTCACCATTAATTTTATGTGTGCGGCCCTCAGCATCTCATCAAACCTTAGTAAGTGGCCCTCCAGCCAAAATAACTGCCCACCCCTAATCTAACAGATCTATGATAAAGACAGAGTAACGCTTTCCTAGAAGGACCCTTCTTTGTAGCCAATGTTTGAATGCATTACCAACATGATTTTAAAGTGCTGGTTTGAATTTGACACACAGAAGCCAAGATCAAGACTCAGATTTTGGACCAGGTATTGGGTGGGACGTGTAGAATCTGAGGTGTTCATCATGCTAAACTGATAGGTAAAAGGTGATATGTCCTTCAATGTGGAAACCAAATAAAGATAGATAAAAAGGGGGTGCAGACAGAAGCCCCCTGTATTCTGCAGACATAGGTCAATCTTAAGTTTATTTTATAGATATTTATAGCTCTGATAAATTTAATAGAAATTATCAAACAATTTTTAAGAAATTAAGAGATCTGAATTCTACAATGTTAGGGGAGGCACCAGCCTCTTCTCAGTGAAGGAGCTGAGGGGGGCTGTGCTGCAGGCAGGAGCAGGGCAGGCTCAGTGAATTTTGAGGTGGCTATAGCCCCTCAAACCTCTCCCCAGTGCCATCCCTGTACAATGTATTTGGAAAGAATGTTTAGAGGCTGATGAGGAGGACAAAGTTCTTTGGGTGAATCTGATATCTTTTATTAGATCAACTTAAATAGTTGGAAAAAAAATTTCTTAGCAAGCTTTCAGGTTTAAAGACCCTTTGTCAGGCTGAGGAAGCCTCTGCAGTTGGAGTGTGTTCTTCCTGGATGGAATGAATAGTAAAGAAGTCAGAGGCTGGTATGCATGCAAGACCAGCATTCAGTGAAGATGTAAATTGAGGAGTCAGTGGGTAAGAGACAGGCTAGGGTGGGGAGAGAAAGGGGATGAATGTAGCTGGTAAATAGTGGAGATGTACCTGGGGAGTCAGGTGTCAGGTAGGTTATAATATGTCATAATGTCTATATTTAGTCTATGATTTTTTGGATCCAGGAGGTTGTATCCAGCCTGTCTCTCACCCACTGACTCCTCAATTTATATCTTCACTGGCAGCCTATATTGCATGCATACCAGCCCAGTCTAAAGAATTTACAATGCCAGTTAATCACAACAGGCAAATGAAAAATAGGGAGGGTTTTCCATGTAGATGGACTGTTCTCAGATGATAGCTTGTTACCTGTCCAGCTGTGATCAACAGAGTTCTGTGAGTATCATAACAAGTCCAAGCTGCTACACCATAGCATGCTACTTGAAGTTACTTTTGTTTGATTGTCCTAAAATATGAGGAAATGGCTTCTTTCTCCAATCAAATCTGGAGGGATGGAATATGACTTCCCTAAATGGATGCTCTACAGTGAAGGAGCCAGTGAAGGAAGCCCATCAACAGATTCACAGATTCACAGAAGTTTAGGGCTGACAGGCAACTTGTGAGATCATCAGGTTCAACCCCCCTGCTTTGGGCAGGAAAGACTTCTGGGGGCAAATAACCCCAGCAAGGTGTGCGTCCAGTCTCCTTTTGAAGATCTCCAGGGGAGATGCCTGCACCACTCCCGCATTCCAGAGGCTGGTCACATGAACCATGAAGAAATTTTTACCTATATCAAGTCTGAAAACCTCTTCTAGGAGTTTATGACTGTTGCTCCTGCTTTTCCCCTGGGGCGCTTTGATGGGTAGTTGTTCACTTAGCCCCTGATGCTTTTCCCTGATATATATGTAAGCTGCCACCAAATCCCCAGGAAGTCTTCTCTTTTCTAGACTGAACAGTCCTATATCTGTCAGTCTTTCCTCATATGGCTTTCTCTTCAGGCCTCTAATCATATGAATGGCTCTTCTCTGGACTCTCTCAAGCTTCTCCACAGCCTTCTTGAAGTGCGGCGCCCAGAACTGGACGCAGTACTCCAGCTGTGGCCTCACTAATGCTGAGGAGAGCAGAAGAATAACTCCCTTAGTGTTGCTTGAGATGTATCAGTCGATGCATGCCAGCGTATTGTTTGCTCTGCTAACTGTAGCATCACACTGGTGGCTCATATTCATTTTATAGTCAATTATGACCCCCAGGGCCCTTTTGGACATGGTGCTAGCTAGCGTGACACCACCAAGCCTGTAAGTTTGTTGTGGATGTTTCCACCGCAGATGGAGCACTTTACATTTCTCAGTGTTGAGCAGCATCTGGTTCTGGTCCACCTATCTAACTAATCTGTCTAGGTCCACCTGGATCACCCACCTACCCTGAGGCGTGGTCACACTTCCCCACAGCTTAGCGTCATCGGTGAACTTTGCCAGTGCGCTTTTCACCCCCACATCCAGATCATTGACGAAGATGTTGAAAAGCACTGAACCACATCCCGAATCCTGGTGGACCACACTAGCTACCTTCCACCAGGTCGACACAGATCCGTCTGTTAGTATTCCCTGGGTCTGACGCCGCAGTCAGTTTACCAGGCACCTGACCATTGAATTGTTGGAGTACCTATTGAAGAGGCAACCATGCTTAGGAAAGCTCTACTCCAAACATGCAGTGAGGGAAAGACTAGCACTATCAAAATGGTTTCCAAATCCCATGAGTTGTATGGGAAGGAGGTGATGACTATGAATCTGCTTGTGACTATCCTGATGGCAGAGGGAAAAGCTTGGTGTACCTACTACACGGGGTCTTCCCAGTGTCTGTGATAGGAGCCCCATTTCAGTTCTATCAAGTTTTTGCCTTTGCAAGAAATCATTTATCAAAAAAGTCCCCAAAATTGCCTCTTCAAACACTCATTCACAACAAAACACAAAACCAGGAACCTACGACATGCCACAGGTAAATCAAGCACTGCGCTGCTGATGCCCTGACACTGCACTGACAGACAAGAAACTGGTTAATATATGCTCACTGAATGTGTAGCTAGTGCAGTTCGGAGATACTCTCCTGACAAACAACATGACTCAAGTTCATGCAAACCATAATATCTCCCTTAGAATATGGTTTATAGATGACAAAAATGTTCATTTTGCTCATTCCCTGTTGCTTTGAGGAGGGAATGTGGTTTTAAGGCACTTTCAAAATGACTGGCTTCTATTCTTGGTTCCACTGCCTCTTGCTTTATGATTTTAGATAAGCCCTGCACGTCATCTTTCTGTCCCAATTTTCAGAGGTGCTAACCACTCATATTTTAGACAATAGGAAGTGTAAGAGGTCAGCAACACTGAATTACCAAAGTCTGTTTTCTCAGGTTGAGCACTGCAAAATTTAGGCACATCAAAAATTAACTGCTGCTGTAGAAAACTTTGCCTTTGACAACCATGCCATAGTTTCCTCCTTTTTAAAATGAGGGTGATAATAATTATGTGACCAACTTCACAAGGGTGTTGAGAGACTTAATTTTTGTTAAGTGATTTGAAAACTGGATGGTGGCAATAAAATAAAAAGTGAACTAGCAGGAATTAAAACCACCAGTTGCTGAACTTCCACATATGGCTTATATCTATTATGCTGTGAAATTGTCCAGATACTCCTCCACAAGGTTTCTTTTCAAAGGAAAGGCTAATATGTGCAGTGTTCAGAATGAAAACCAGAACTCATGACCTGAGCCAGCTCAGAGTTTCAATCGGCCGTAAATGGTTTCCATTAGATCCTTGCAGCCAAGACTGCATTCCCATATAACTGGAGAAACTCCACTGACAGCAGCAGTTTTTCTGTATTTACTCTGATGTACGCAAAACAAGGAGTTGATTCCTTGTGACGCATTTTCAGAGGGGCTACAGTTCATCCTCTGAAGCTCCACATGTAACACTACACACACACAGACATGGTCAACTTGAAGAGTTAAGGGAGTAAAGAAGCATTTTCAAGCACTATGGCTGCCCTCAGCTCCACTGCCAAATTGCTAAGATTTTGCAATCATAGCTGACTACTTTTAAAAATGATTTTTCCCCCATTTACTAGGTTAGAATCACACAAAGGGACGCCATGAACCTGAGTTTACATAAACTACTGACTATACTGAATTTCTTCCAATGTAGAGGAAATTAGTTTTTCTCCAAACCTTTCTGTTTAGGTATAGTAATCTTAGGTGTTACTAAATGGCATCTGTCTCTGAGAAAGTCATGTGATGTTTTAGCTGATGAAGTCCAACTTTGCCTGCATAATTTTTTCCTGGTAAATATTCACCTGGCACTTAA